TATGCACAAAGGAAATTCAACCATACGTGTCATATCTAAAGAGCATTGGGCAGCACATTATAAAACCAAAATGTGTATTATAACAAGTTCCTCCTTTCCCTCCATGCTAGTTTTCTATATCCCCTGTTAGATGTTCTTCCAAGGTCATGTTTGTTTTTATCATCAGCACCAACGCTATCTGCATGCTGCTCTTTTTCTGTATTGTATTTTCTAATTGGTCCTTATGAGTATGCAGAAATATTCCTCATTTTTAATTTCTTGATTACAGTCGACTCGCTCATTAATGTACCTATGAACATCAATGCAAAAGGGCTAAATAAAATATTTGCAAAGCTAACCCAGGACCGTTAAATAATTTATCCACAGATTCTCTCGGATGTGTCTCTAATTGGAATTAATCAAGATGGCTGTACTCCTGGGTATTGTTTGATACCCTTTAATCATGTTATGAGACTTGCTACACATTGTTTGCTAAAAGGTTTTATCACATATAAGTATTAAATTTTATCAAATAAATATACATGCCATACATATTTAGTTTAAATGTGCATTTTTCTCCTTTTATTTGTATTACACTTGTATTCCAGTGGATTGGAGTAATAGATTTTCTAATGTTAAAGCACCTTTGCATTCCTGGAGATAAAATTCACTGACTGCTGTTTTAATTCTATTTAAACACACTGCTGGATTCAGTGTCTCACTACCCTACTTGTTTGTGCTTTTTCTTCCTGTGCATTTAGAAGTGGTATGTCTACACTGTTTTGTACTGTGTCCAGTATTCCTAGTAACATTATATAGCACATGGCTCCTAAAATTAGTTAGATGCCTTTCCCTTGCTCAGCAAGTATAAGGAGAAGGTAAATCATGAGTGTCTCTCATGCATGAGTAAAGTGTGCTAGGTGGAGAACTGCTGGGTCACATCTCCTAAAAGTTAAATCATGCTCTGCTCCACAGAAAACAACCCTCAGCATTTCAGACCTTATGTAGAGATTGGGTCTTTGCAGACAGATCAGGTAAAGATGAGGTAATACTGGATTAGAGTGGGACCTAGCCCAGATTCCTGGGCAGAAAGGGTGGATACATGCAACTGCTTTTATTTCTTCCCTAAAACCAGCTGAAACTACACCAAAGAAGTTTTGTTCCCTCAAAAGGCTACACCAACAAGGAGGAGAATAAGGATAAGAGACAAATGGAAACCAGAAAACAGTTTTGAAAGCATAATATTTAGCACCCAGGGAAGCCAACAGTGGGGAAAAGTGAGAACCAACTCAATTTACACTGCAAAACTTCAACAGTTAGGAATCATTGCCATGGGTTCTTTGGAGAGAAAGGTGAAAGGGGATGGAACTAAAGAAAGCAGTAGCTGCAAACTTTCTGGTAAACATTTGCATAGTAATCCCAATCACCAACTACCCACTGCGTCTTGGAGAAATCACTTGTCCCCCATTCAGTAGAAGGTTCCCTTTTTGAAGGTCTCCGATGGGAATACCCTCAATACTTGGGCTCAGTGTACTCTGTATGTGTATTAAGTGAAACCACGCACACTGAGCTGAGACTGGCTGCCCATCTCTCTCCATTTAGCTCTCTCCAAACAGTACAGTCCTTCTGTCCTCCAGGCAGAAGAACAAACCCTCCCACCCTGAGATAAAAATCTAAGGATGACACTAGACTTCCTCTGAACACTAACTGACCCAACTAGATGACAGCCCCACACCTCAGCAGATGAGCCATCCACTCCTAACATGAACAGTAAGAAGTTTCCACACGAGACACAAGTGTGCAGTGTCCGAGAGGGAGACCAAAATAAGCAAAAGCAATTTGAGTAAACAAAAGATGAGAATAAAACTTAAAAAATGATCTGGGATAAATGATGTCATATTCATGAAACAAGAGTTTATTTTTAAAAGGAATATTCAGAACTCTTAGAAAGTGATTTAAAAATAAAAAAAACACCCACAAGGATGGCTAAAATTAAAAAGACAGACAAGAAGAAGTGTGGGTAGGATGTGGAGAGACTGGGGCCTCATACATTGCCGGTGGGCATGTGAAATGGGATGGCTGCTGCGGAAAATAGTTGGCAGTTCCCCAAAATGTTAGATAGAGTTATCATATGTTCTAGCAGCCCCACTCCTAGCAATACACTTGAGAGAACTGAAAACCCATCTCCATGCCAAACTTGTACACTGATTTTCATAGCAGCATTATTCACACTAGCCAAAATTGGATTAAACTAAATGGCCATCGAGGGATGAATGGATTAACGAAATATCACAGTCACACAACAGGGTATTATGTGACAATGAAAAGGGATGAATGATACGTTCTACCCCTCAATGAACCTGGAAAACGTCATGCTAAGCCAAAGAAGCCAGTTGCAACAGGCTGCATCTCCTCCATGATTCCTTCCATTCATACAAACTTCTGTAACAGGCAAATCCATAGAGACAGAAAGCAGATCATGGTTGCCAGGGGCTGGAGGAAAGCAGGAGAGACAGAATCGGCTGGCAATTAGTAAGGGCTCTGAGTGCAGAGGAGGAGGGATGAAAACATTTTACAACTAGGTAATGGTGATGGTTGCACAACTCTGAGTATCTGCAAATGTGCTGAATTATACACAGTGAAA